GATCACAATTAAATAGAAGTTGCAAGTTAACTGCGTTAAAGCAATTTTTCAAGTATTGTTATAAGACGGTGGTCCAAGTTATATAATGTCTTGTTTTTTAATGATCATTTATAAAATGGCGGCCTTAGTTCCAATTTTATCCACATGAACAGATAAGTTGTATGATGTAAAGTCTCGTGATGATACTGTCACTTTGACTTAAAGTGATTAAGACAGCACGAGACTTAACGGCAGCGTTTGAGTATTTGGGCAGCTACGCAAATTATTCAACTGACGTAACTTCTAAAAAATATTTAAGTATAGATATATTGGGGATAGAAAATATTGGGGAAACAATTATATAACATATGCAGATATTACACAAACTTAGATAGAGTATCCAAGCTTTTATTAATTTCTAAGCTTTTATACATCTTCATTTACATTTACATTTTTACATCTTCTATTTACTTATTTATTTATAACAGTTTAAAATATTTATATAGAACATAAAACTTAATAATATACTAGCTTGCCAGGAAGACGTTGTTCTGCCCTTTTCGACGACCCTTTGTCTTGTTCTATTAAAAATCCTTAAATTCGCAAAAAAAAATTGTGGGTCACTCATGGGCAAAAAACTATCCTATCTCTCAAGTTGGGCCAAACTGCACACGGAGTGCATATTTGATTAAAATCGGTTAAGTAGTTTAGGAGTCCATCGCGGACAAACAACATGACACGTAATTATATATATATATATATATATATATATATATATATATATATATATATATTTATTTCATCATATAGGAATGAGTTTCACGGTCAAGAGTTGAATACCAAAAGTGGAAGTTATCTTTAAAATAAGAAGGAGACGTCGGATCATTTAATATACAGTAAGGGCTTAGTAAGATTCTGGAGCAACGCCTCTGATGAATAGAAAGCCATTAAGGCTTGGAACGAAAAGGAGTGATGTGGTCGTAAGTTGAAGATAAATCTTATACAGTTGTTGAGAAGGTGCTCCAACTTGGATTGCTACAACAACCAAGGTGCCACAACGAGATTTTGCGAGAGGTCTGGATAGCACACAGCTGCATAGTCTATAGTAGGAAGTATAAGGGAATTAACCAGCAAAGCTTGCTTTTGAACGGTAAGAATGTTTTAATACGATAAAGGGAACATGGGGTGGCAACAACTTTGCGATTAATTTTCGAAATCTGTTTTCCCCAGTTCATAAAGCGATCTATGTATGTGTAAACCTAAATTGACTATGGAATGAGAAAACAGAATTGTAATTCTAGAGCTACCCACAACCATTGCTTTACATTTTATCGGGTTTACTGAAACACCAAATATATGTGACCAGATACGGATGGCGGGCCACGCGTCCTTTCCGTTCACAATAAGTGTTCCCACTTATGAGTTTAAAGGTGGGTATCCATTATTTTCGCGATTCAGCAGCGCTCCGCGCTCCTGCAACTGTTCCCGGTAGTGGGTACTGTTGTTTCCATCCAAGTTTAAAATGATTTTCCTAGAAAGTCCTTATAAAGTTCTACTTTTCAGATTTTTTTCATATTTTCTAAACTAATGGTTCAAAAGTTAGAGTGGGGGGGGGGGGGGACACATTGTTTTTTACTTTTGGAGCGATTATTTCCGAAACTATTGACATTATCAAAAAATGATTTTAGTGAACCCCTATTCATTTTTAAATACCTTTCTAACAATATATCACACGTTAGGGTTGAAATTAAAAAAAAAATCACTTCCCACTTTACATATAGGGGGGCTACCCTAATAAAACATTTTTTCCAATTTTTATTTTACCACTTTGTCGGCGTGATTGATACACATATTGGTACCAAATTTCAGCTTTCTAGTGCTAACGGTCACAGAGATTAAGCGAGGACGGACAGACAGACATGGCGAAACTATAAGGGTTCCTAGTTGACTACGGAACCCTAAAAAAGGGTCAAAAGCGCGATGCTTTATCGACGCCATTTTGACAGTTGGTATTATAGTAAATAGTAATAGTAGTATTATAAATAATTTTAGTCGATTTTAGTATGATGTAACGTAGATAGATTTTTTTTAAATTAATATTTCGAAGTGTTCATAATTATTGCCAGATATTATTAGTTTTTTTTCATAATATATAGTTACAACATATGACTTTGTATTTCGTCTCTGTCCTCCTAGTTTTGGTTTTATAGGGCGGCAAAGCATAAGGTGTATTACCTCATGTACCTTAATGCATGTTTAATTACTGATAAAGTAATAAAACTTTAAAATCCTGTTTCAAGTTTGGATGGTAGAGAATGTCATGTTTTTTTTTATAAGACTAAGGTGACAAGGATACCTACAGTCCACCTGATACTAATTGGCACCTGCAGCCAACTTCAAACAAACTAGACCATAGATTGAGTGATTGTCACCTCTGAATACTAAAATGAAATGTCTCACAGTATGTAATTAAACTGTATATAAGTATTGTCTAAGCTCGTGTTTTGTGCAGTAAAGAATAAATAAAGTATATAATAAATAATACGTATAAAAATGATGTTTTTAAAAAATTATATAAAATTTAAAAAAATGGAAAAACACACATTATTTAACCTTTTTTTTAATCCCCAACGAAAACCAGAGAAGTTATACGTTTTCAGCCTTATTAATAAACACAGACTTGAGCAAGATCAACTTTATTCCTAGTTTAAATCTTAAAATATTTAATTTTAGTATTAATAAACATAGAGTAAGGAAGGAGTAAACTAATTCGAATCTACTCTCGGAATGAAAGTTAATCCTTGGCGGTACCTAGTTTAGCGTCTGAGTTAGCATGGACTAGTCGCGTATTTTGACATTTTGTAAAACTTTACGTTTAAATTCATAAGTTGTAAGTACTAGTAACAAAAACAGCACACGATTTATACAAATTCTATTGACAGCCACATATTCGAATCCATCGCTGGAGCATCGGACAATACTACATAAACAGGAAAGGATACAGTTAAATAAATGTACAAGTAAGTTTTACAGCACCTAGCTAGCCCATCTTTGCCATATAGGTACTTAGTTATTTTCTTAGATTCAATACAATCACCTCAATCTATTACTTCATATTAAAGAAGTTATGAGTGCTTTGTTCCAGGTTGTGTCAAATGCAAATTTAGAGTTCATGGATATAGTGGCACATTGGCAAGGCAGCACACATGACTCAACAATATTTAAAGAAAGTCGCATTAAAACAAATGTTTGAGCAGTCAGAATTTAAAGGCAGACTTCTCGGAGATTATGGTTATGCTTGTACTCCTTATTTATACACTCCTATCCTGCGTCCTAATAAACAAAAGGAAGAAATGTACAACCGGCCGCACATCTGGTGGCCCCGTTACACTGTAGAACAATGCTTTGGAGGGAAGCAAAGGTTTCGGTGTTTACTGCAAGGACTAAATACTAAATAAGAGCATACAAAACTATATACATTGCAATGCAAAAGCAAGATCTGCTTGAGGATGTAGTATAAGGAGATAATGAAAGAATGTCAGTCAAACAATTAGTAAATAACCCCGTTAGAGGAAATTCTGTTCGGGCAGTATTTATTAACGATTTTTTAAAAATAAATAAACAATAATTACATGTACAAAAGATTTTATTTATCCCCGAAAAACAAAACAAAAATGGTTATTTAATTAATTTTGCCCTCACGCTCTTTTCTAAATTCTAAAATTTCGTTACAAATAATATTAAAAATGATTATATTTAGTACTTAGTTTTTCCACTGAGTTGTTTTCGGACTCAGGAACTCGAATTCAAACACGAGGAACAAGGGACAACACGTAACACTTATCTCTTGTCAAACTCAAAATATTGCCTGTCACTGTCATTAATGTCATCACTAATCAATCACTGACCGCACTGACTCACTCTTTTTACTTTTAAAATAAGTGGGTTGCCATAGAGCAAGCCTTAATCCCGGCGTAAGGAATGTATTGTTAGTCCGAGGTTACTCCATGTTTATTAATAACATTGTAATAACGAAGTAATTAGTCAGTTACTCTGAGATTAGCTAGTACAAGTGTAACTTCCAATTAAGATTGGAATAAGCAATTTTTATTTATAAGGCAGTTTATGTTTAACGGCTGAACCGATTTAGGTTTAGTTTGTTTGAAAGATGACTTGATCGTGAATATTTTAATTAGGATTCAAGAAAGTTTTTTCAGCTGTTTGAAGATTATCAGCTCTTATTGTTTCATTTTTTTTTAATTTTTAATTTAAGCTATTATAAGAGGAGCAAACGAGCATGCGGCTTACCTGATGGTAAGTGACTACCGCTGCCCATGAACAACCGCAACACCAGGTGAATTGCAAATGCGTGGCCGGCCTTTTAAAAAAGAGTAGGCTCTTTTCCTGAAGGTGAATCGGTCCAGAAAAATTGCTGGTGGTAAGTCGATTTCACAAGGAAGTTGTGCAAAGAAAAAAACTTGTGTTAAATCGCTGAGTATCTACATAGTATATATTAAATATATATACAGGGTTATTTTGCAGTAAACGGCCAGATTTGCAGAGAAGGTTTATAATAAGTACAAGGCAGAATAAGTACAAATAGTGAAGAAAAATAAATAAAAAAGTCCCAAACATTGTGTCCTTTTTATCTTTTAAATTCAAAATGCATGGTAATGCATTATTTTAATTGATTTTACTGCCCACGCACACATTCTTAAGGGTCGATCGACAGGCAAGGCCATAAATCACATTCAATCTGGGATAATTTCAAATAAAAGTAGAAGCTTTATTTACTCGTATTTTCAAAAACTGCAATATCGGTAAAACATTGTTAATATATTTGCACTTAAGTTTAAAATTTGGTTACTCTTTGAAAAATAACCCTGTATTTGGCTGTACAGTGGACACACGTACTTAATTAATATCAATACATCAATATAACTATGACTGGAAATGTTTTTAAACTTAATCAAGACAAAATAAATTAACCTTATCTACGAAGTAGCTAACGTTGTCTATTTTCATGGAATCTCGGCGCCATATTTATAGTAAATGCTGCGCCAGAAATACGCCCGTTCGGAAGTGAGCTCGGTAACGTATTGCGGTTCCAGATCAATACCCAGGTGATACGGATATGGTACCCACTCGCCATTACTTGAGTCTGGAGTAGGCAATCTGTAAAAAATATTATAATATTACAATGTTACCATATACCGTGTAGTGGTGGTGTAAAATACTCAATACCCCATATCGTCCCGTGGGTGTCGTGAGAGGCGACAGGGGGAAAGTGAAACTGATGATGAATAACAATATCTTCCTGATAACAACATAAAATAATAAAAAATACTGTCAAATAACAAGTGACAACAAATAACAACCAACAACAACACTCCATATTAGTTCTCAGGGGTAACAACACATCTGCATTTTAATTCTTAATCGAGGATAAATGTGGATGTCTATGGGTCACAGCTTCCACTTACTATCTGGTTGAATGTGTGCTTGTTTGTCACACTTATTTTATAAAAAAAGCACGTACTAATCAATTGTTATTTGTTAGTTCTATTTAATCCATACATTCCATTACAGCCTATTAAAGTCTACTGCCAGCCAGCAGGGCTATCCTCGAAGTTTCTCTGCGTGATAAACTTAGAAATGAAAATATCCGCAGTAGAACCAGAGTGACCGACATATCCCCAAGGATTAGTAAGCTGAAGTGGCAATGGGCCGGCCATGTAGCTCGAAGAACCGACAACCGTTGGGGAAAAAAGGTTCTCGAGTGGCAGCCTCGTACCGGTAGGTGAAGTGTAGGGCGACCCTCCACTAGATGGAGTGACGACCTGGTAAGACATGCAGGAAGTCGAGGGATGCAGGTGGCTCAGGACCGTGCTTTGTGGCATGATGGCTGTAATGATGATGATGAAAGTCTACTGCTGAACTTGGGACTTCCCGATAGATTGCCGCACAAGAGGAATTTTGTGTTAATTGCTTGGCTGCCACTGTTTTTTCTTTAATTTTGAATGATTATAAGGAAGATATTGCTGCCCACCCCCCTCCTTCGTTTTCCCTCTGCCGCGCGTGCGGGGCACGACGCGCGGGTGCTCGTGCCCACGCCGTGGCGACAGCAGATTGTCCCATTTCATTATCAGTCTGTGAATCTTTCTTTCTTTTTTAAAAAAACGTTACCCCTACACCATGATTTTCTCCTGTAACGTGAGGGCAGTTTACAAAGATAAATTGCACAAGAACAAACATCTAGACAACTACAACAACTATTTGTAGGCCATACAAATACTTGTTCCGTGCGGGATTCGAACCCGCGATCCCAGTCGTCTAATATGATAATCTCTATACATGTCTTGGATCATTGACGCTGTACCACGTCACCGGTAAACAAGACCAATCAGTCTGACTATCTGTCAATAGCTAGTTTCCTTAATCTCTTCTACGTCACTCACATAGCAAAATGAGCTACTGGATGAACTTATACCGCCAACTTAGAGCAACCATTTTACATTGCACACACACACACACACATACGTATACATAAATAAATAAACTTTCACTCACATATCATACAGTATTTATAAGTTGACTAGTTTGATTGTCTTAATTTTAGAATATAAGTAATAAATAGATAACTCTAATATAGTATATAGAATATGTTTACCTAAGCTGCCTTCTAACATAGATATAGCAATGGAAGGGCGGACCCTCCAAACACAGGCATTATTTGCTCAAATGGAGGTTCCAATCTACTAGTTCTTAAGGCATGTACTTTTTAAACTGCAAACTTAGACAACGATAAAGAAGTACCGAAATTGAGGTTAGTACCATAGTTAAACTAGGTGTCTCGAAAGTTTAACTTTAGTACCATAGATAATCCTTGAACTAGAGATAATCTTCGTTTTGTAATAACGTTTTCCTTAATTTATGGTTTTAACATAATACTAACTCCGGTACTAAATTTAGTCCGTGTTTTGGCCGGGAAAGTTCTGGTGTTCAAATCCGCCATTCGAGTACTGTGGTGGAACGCTCTTAATAAAAGCATTTTGAGCTTATTCAGAGTGGTTAGCCGGAATATTAGTAATGTTTATAGCGTAACTAGTATTCTTTTATAAAAAACGTACGGTCATGCCTGCTATTTCCCGCTAATTTCAAATGCAAAGCGCTCCAAAATCCACCTATTAGAAGTGTTTTTTGAGGTTAAGAGCTGACCAGATTTTAGAATCGATCGACATATTAGTTTAAAAGTATTAAAAAAAACACTTTTTTGAATCTGTAATTTTTGAGATTCAAATTGAATCTAATGGCAATAAAATTTAAAAAAAAATCTAATAGCAATAATACTCTTTCGAATGCCGTGAACCGCGTTTCGATCGTTCAAGTCGTTCAAAAGTTATAAGAATTTTACAAACAAAAAAAAAAAAAAAAAAACACACACACGTGCGCGTTTTTACGTGGTAGAGCCACGCTGCAGCTATATTAGTTGTAGCACGAATGGGCCGGTCGACCGGGGAAGGACCACGCTCTCACACAATACCAGCGAAAAATAGCATTCTATGGCTGCTGTGTTTCGTATGGTGAGTGTAGAGAACCGGAGACCCTTTTTACTGAAAACGAGGCATTACATCTTAGTCCTCAGGGGTGACGACGCATCTGCATTTTGATTCTTAATCGACGATATGTAGATGTCACAGCATCCACTTACCATCAGGTCGATTGTGTGCTTGTATGTCACCCATATACTATAAAAAACACACATACACATACATACGAGTACATACAACGGGATATCCTCGTAGGTATAGTCAGAATAGCTTCCTAGGACCTCAAAACGTGAAGATCTGATGAGAACTCGATTTTCGAAAACCGGAGTGAAACCAATAACTTGCCGATTTTTCGAAAATAATTGAACTTCATAGCGGGAAGTTAAAAAATATAGTAACAATAATTGTATAAAAAATGTAACTTACCCAAACTTTGCAAAGTTTGTCCACAACATGGTCATAAAAGTAACCATTCTTGCGTCATTTTCGTCCATTGGTAAAGGTAAGCGCTCCAACTCGAAGATATAAAACAATTCGTCTCTATTAGCTGTCGCTTCTAATGTGCTGTTGGTCACGATTCTTCCTAAGTTTCTGTTACCCAAATAGTTGAAAATATACGTGTATACTGGCAACCCAGAATTGTTAGCATAGAGGTGGCAGAATAGTGACATTGGTCCGACATAAGAGAAGTCGGTGTTTAAATTTATAATTCCACCGATGACGGCTTCGTCCGTTGACGTATTAACAAAGTAAGTGTCTTTTAAGATATTCCGAAACTCTGACTTCTCCTTCGAGGGTACGATAAGACTCTTCTGGTCTAATGCAGAATAGTCTTCATTTTTTATTCTATCCATTTGGCTACTGATTGTATTGTAGTCTAGTACACAAGTGAGGCCTTCTACGGTGTTTAAACCAATTATCATTGGTACAGGGTTTGCTATTTTACCAGTTGTTAGCATGTTAAATGGAGTATCCAGTAAGAACGGTTCCTCGTCATCGAACACCTTCTCAAGCGTTGGTAAGAATACCGACTGAGCGTTCATCTGCTTACCGATAGCCTCTTCCACTTTAGAAATGGAAGATTCCGAGTATAACTCGAAAAGATCGTACGGGTCTTTTGTATTCACGCCCAAGGTCTTTGCGATTTTGATTGCGGTATTCAAAGGGTTGGCATCGAAAGACTGAGGGGCGAACGGTGTTCCACTTTCCGAAATTATGCGATGGAATAAGCCCTTAGTAGACTCGGACATGGTGAGGTAAATAGCGGCTAACCCACCGCTACCTTCACCGAAAACTGTCACGTTATCGGGATTACCGAAGAAATTGGGGATGTTGTCTTTGATCCATCTCAGGGCGGCACGGATGTCTTTCAAGCCAGCGTTGCCCGGTGCTTCACTGATACCCAGGTTTAAGAAACCGTAGGCATTCAATCTATAGTTTATTGTCACTACAATAACACCATGACTGACGAGGTATTGGGGTCCGTAGAAAACGGAGGACCCTGAGCCAACTCCGAAGCCCCCACCGTGTAGGAAGACTATAACTGGAAGAGAGGTGTTTTGTAGTTGAGAGGGTACATATATGTTGAGAACAAGACAGTCTTCGTTGTCGCTGGGCGATGCCAACGGATCTGGAACTGGGAATTGAGGACAGAGCACCTCCCGATTGTCCGCTTTGTATACGCCTGTGAAGACTGGCGGTTCTTCAGGAGCCTGAAGAAAAGAATTCAAAGGTGTTTTATTTGTTTTTCAACAATTCAAAACTATTAAAAAATATAGCAGCGGAATAGTGATATTCGGTTAAGTTATTTTGCTATTTTGTATTACTTATTAAAATTTCAATGAAACTGGACATTAAATCAGTCTTTATGATAGGGGTTTTACCTGGGGTGACAATCTAAGCTATGATAGATATTAAAGGCCCGAAATAAATTGTTATATAAAAATAAGGGCTACAAACGAGCACACAGTCCACTTGATGGAAAGTACATGCTGCAGCGCATACAAGCCTCCATCTATCCTTGATTATGAATCAAAATACAGATGCACTATCAAAGGTAATGACTAAGATGGGCTGCCTAGTTACCAGTAAAAAGGATATCCGGATCTCGCCACTAACTATATGAAACACATCAATACGATGACTGATATTCTTTGTAAGCTTAGGGAACTTTAAGAAAAGAGCCTAGTCTATTTTAAAAGGCCGATAATGCATCTGCAATTCCCCTGGTGTTGCAGTTGTTCATGGGTGACGGTAGTCATTTACCATCATCGATATATATGTACTACGCACTAGATTTCGCATTCCGAACACTATGTTCAACTGAACTGTACTGCAATCCGTACACCTGTTATTGTGGCATCGATATTCATGCAGTGCGGAACGGCGCTAACAATACAAAAATTAAATTAGCGCATATGCAAAATAAACAAAAATTTTGAAAAACGTACTCGATTAACAATAGACTATTTACGCATAATCCATGATGACAAAGCTTTTTAATTCGTGATGACAATTTTCGTCGTTTATATCAACTGCGCATGCGCGACTCTAATGTTTCCCACAGGTATGTATAATGTACTCTGTGGTTTCCCGCGCATGCGCGACTCTACTGTTTCCCGCGCATGCGCGACTCTACTGTTTCCCGCCCCCACATCGCGACCTCTTTCCCGCGCATGCGCGACCACTTCCCCCTCTGAGGACAGAGTAGTGCACATGTTTTGCTTGGAATAGTTTCTCTAGTACGTAGTACATTTATAACTCAATTCTTACCATCAGGTAAGCCGCATGCTCGTTTGCCCCTTCTCATATAAAAAAAACGTGATCTCTCGCTGGACCGTTCATTCTACAGCCATAACACGTAGTAAAATAAAAAATAAATAAAAATCGTTTATTTCGACCACAAGGATCGCAGATGTTAGTAACAATACAAATCTTAAAACAATGTTAGTAAACTTAAAATTATTTACCTAATTCTAAAACTGTATGTAAGACAGGCCTGATTAGTCAGCACGTACACCATAATATGACAATGGTTCAGGTACTGACAATCAAACCTGTCAAATAATGCCCTCAGGATGTGTATCGTTTACGCACGGTGGTGTAGAAACCATTGATTTATATAACACTAGATCAGTAATAACCGCGCCAAAGCGTTGCCACTGCACATATGGCCACAGCCATATGTCTAGCTAACGTGAGTTCATTGTTCAATGTGACGCCGACAGAGTTGAGCCGCGACAAAAATGGATAAATGCGTAGTGAAAGAATGCTATTCAAGGTCACAAAAACGTAATAAATCAAGCGGAATCACTTTCAACACATAATTTTTGGTTCTTGTTTTATACAAACGTAAAAAACCTCAAATAATTAAATAAAATTGTCGAATATTGCCATTTAGGTTCAATGTTGCCACTTTTTCGTATTTGTGATTATCCTACATTAATGGGAGATTGGGAGACATTACATTATTATACATTAATTAATGGAGTAAGTTAATTTGTTACCTCTGATTTTAAATATTTTGGAAATTATAATAAAAACTACGTTTTAAATTTCATACAAAATAATTAATTATTCTTATTTTAGTTTATTCATGAATTATCTATTAAATATATTTTATTACCTATTTTATATTAATAATTTTATATTATTTATAATTTCATATAAATTTTATATTAATTATATTTTATTACCTATTTTATATTGTTTGTTTTATTAGTACCATAAAAATACGTTTTATTTCATCATTATGTTTACTTCTATTCATCTGATAAGCTTTGTATCCTTTTTTTTCTAAGGGGACGTAATAAAGATTTGAAAATAAAATATACTTTTTAATATAAAAACAATTAACTGCAGCTTAAAAAAGAACACATTTATATTACGTATTTTAGGTAAAATTTCATATAGTAAGCCACACCAACCCGCCATTGCATGTTTGTGTGTCTATCTTTATCTAATCTTAGCGACGATATTGTTTTCGCAACTTGTGTAAGTGAGATAGATATATGTTTACTTAAAATTGTTATTAGTTTCAAAGCTACGTCGTCGCGTTTGGATAGTGGTTACACTTTTTTCGATGCGCGGTAATGTGGTTTGCTCCTCTAGTGTTGTATAACTCAATGGTAGAAACAATCCACATGCGTATCCGCGAACATAACGAGTACAGTAACGAGGTAGACGTTATATATATTTATAATTGTATTGAACACGTAGGGCATTGTACTGTTTCTGCGTGTAGTCCACCCACAGACTGCTCGTGTAAAAGTAAGTGCAGTAAGCTCTAAAGAGCGTTAATTTTACAGGGACAAAACAACGAGCGAAACTTCGAGCGATCATGTTCGCTCTAACAGACATTGCCCTGCGCTCTCTCTCTATTTCAGCATCATCTTTCAGGTCAAAAGATACCATATTTTTATTTATAGGATAGGGTGACAAACTAGCACCCAGTCCACCTGATGGCAAGTGGTTGTTGCGGCCCATAGACATCTACATCTATCCTCGATTACAAATCAAAATGCAGATGCGTGGTCACCAGTGAGAACTAAGATGGAATGCCTCGTTTCCAGTAAAAAGGGTCTCCGGTTCTCTACACTCACCATACAAAACACAGCAACATTAAGCTACTATTTGACGCTGGTATTCTGTGAGAGCGTGGTCCTTCCCCGGTCGAGCCGACCCATTCGTGCTACAACTATACTACTAATATAACTGCAGCATGGCTCTACCACGTATAGACACATGACCGAGGTACATAAACCGAAATGTTATAAGAGTAAATTATTATAAGATTTCAAATCTGCTTACCCTAAACTTGACTGGCACACCATATCTGATACCGAGAAATTCGTAATAAAATCCATATTCCGACAACGCGCCTTCGACTTCACCCTGCTTAGTTGTAACTAGCAGGGTCTCCTCTGCAGACACGCCCACAGAAAACACGCTAAAAATTACACTTAGGCTGAACACGACCATACCTTTTGTCCGGGTATTAAAACTATGATGATCATTAAAATATCACGCTTTATATAACTCAGTAACACAAGATGGCGAAATTGAGCAATTCCAAAATCAAACTTTTATCGTTATAATCGATAAGACGTATTGTGACAATTTGTGTGTTTGTCTGAGTTTCGTGTTCATCGTTTAATTTACTAAAAGGTTTTTTATCAGCACGTATCAATCCACTGCTGGACATGTGCCTCTTTCATTGAAGGGTGTAGTTATACAATAAGATTATATAATAGATAGATAGATAACACTTTTTATTTAGATAACACAAAAAAACATAAATGTTAACAAAAAAAAAGGAGAAAAAGAAATGTGGTACAATGTGCGGCTTTATCGCTAAGAGCGATCTCTTCCAGACAACCTTTAGATGGATAGGATTACAAGAAAACAATAAAAACATATGTGTAGTTTGACGACAATAATAAAATTATTTTATTATAGAATAGAAATAAACTGAAAATAGATATATAATAATTAATAATCATTAACTATAAAATCTATTAAAAAAAACACACAGAGAAAAAATCTTACACGGAATAGCCATAAAGTTGTATAAGCTGCTTACTATCGATCCGCCCCGACTTCGCACGGGTAATTTCTGGATCTCAATAATAGCGCCACCTACCGGGTCCAACTAAGTTTTTAAACCACCCGGAGAACCACTCTAACACATACAAAAAAAATCATAAAGACTAAAGGACGCCAATTGATTTTTAAGCTATTGCATAGCTTCTATCGCGGGCCTTGAGCGCGGGGACCGAATCCAGAAATTCCGTAACGAAAAAAAACCTCACGCTCCCCACTCCGACGGGCAGAACAGGCACGGAGGTGTGGCGTTGAAAGCCGTGCATCGTCTAACGTCGTTTCAGTTCGGCAGACTTGGACGGCAGACGGCACGGTGTTTGTGTGCGTGCGACTAGCGTGCGTGTACACTAGCTGCTAACTCAGTGATAAAAAATCCTGAATAACCTACATGTAATGTAAGATATTAAAAATATTTTAAACAATATTAACTTCTCATTTATTCAATAAGAGAAAAAAAATTATTTTCTTATCGGTCACCACGCTCAAAAAGTGTAACTTGATTTAATATCAAAGACTTAACTGCATAAATAAAATAAATAAATAATTATAATTGCATAAGTTGATAAAAAATGCTATGCAATAGCTTTACCGCGGCAGTCACCGAGTGCCACACGTATTTTTATATTTATATAATAAGGGTGACAAACGAGCACACAGTCCACCAGTAAATCGTTTTTGAAAGCCTCGGAAGCGCAGCTTCCGAGATACTGACTCCGGCAATCAATTCCGCAGCACTCTCTTCCTACTACATATCAATGAAAGCAGTTATGGAGAGATATTAGTATAGTGCTCGAGCTTATGGGATCAAATCCATTATATTTGTGTCAATTCTAATGAATTACAGTTAATTTTTTTCTATAATTTCAATCATCTTGCTGTCCTCGGTAGTGCGCTTGCATTATCGCAGTTCACATCCTGATAGAGCCGCCATGTAATGTTGGAAAGGTGGAAAGAAGAAGTGTTGGTCTGTCTAGTTCTTTAATTAGACTGCTCTTAATAATGATATATTTATTTTTACGTCGTGTAGGCAGCTCTACATCACACAACATTGAATTAGAAAAATTATCCAACACATAAATATCCAACATTACAGCTGACGACTCCATGGCGCAGTGGCTGTGCTGGGGGTCGCGGGTTCGAATCCCGCAACTAACGAATATTTATATGGCCTACAAATAATTGTTCCAGGTCTGGATGTTTGTTCTTGTGCAATTTATGTTTGTAAACTATACGGGATAAAATCCTAGTGTGGGGGTAACGTTTTTTAAAAGAAGATGAAGAAGAAGAAAATTAGATATTTGCTGCTGCTCAAATCCAGTTTCCAGTTTCCCTCTGTCACGTCTTACGACCAGGACGATACGGGGTAGTGGATATTTTTACATAATCACTACACGATAGGAAGCTATAGTGTAACTATAATGTGGTTCAAGAATGAATGTCTCGGTTCGCCCGGGGAAGAACCTCGCTCTCACAGAATGCCATCCTCAAATAGATGTCTGCGGAAAGTCCCTGGTAAACAACAGGCTCTCTCATTTGTTTTTTTTTTATAGATTAAGGATGACAAACGACCACACAGTACACCTGATGGTAAATGGACACTGTGACACAGTCCTTAGTTAACAATCAAAATACAGATGTGTTGTCATCCCTGAGGACTAAGATTTAATACCTTTTTGCCAGTAAAAAGGGTCTTCGATTCTCTTCACTCACCATACGAAACACAGCAGCATTAAGTTGCTAATTTACGCTAGTATTCTGTGAGAACGTGGTCCTTCCTCGATGGAGCCGAAATATTCGTGCTGCAATGGATTTAATACGTATAGCTTGCTGCTGATTTGATGTAATCGCCACGTTTAAGAAGCGTTTTGGTGAATAAAGTACTTGACCTTTGACAATATATTTTGCCGGTCTTACACCTAGATCATGATCATCATTCATTACCCAAATCCACTGCTGAACATAGGCCTACCCGAAAGATTGCCTTAAAGGGGCATATAAGCCAAAATTTCCGTATAGGTGGGTTAGCAACTTACCAAAATACGAGTACATCTACATCTATCCTCGATTAAGAATCAAAATGCAGATGCGTTGTCACCCCGAAGATTAATATGAAATGTAGTTTGTAATTTAAAGTTAAAGTAATAGCCTATATACGTCCCACTCCTGGGCATAGGCATCCCCTCATTTCTGATAGGGTTTTAGGGCAAGGAATTGTCCGCCGCGCTGCCCCAATGCGTGTTGGTAAACTTCACATGCCTCCGAATTTTTTTTTCTTATACGTGCACGTGATAATTCAACACTTAAAATTGCAATTAACGTTTGAATTGGTGCCGGCGGCAATCGAACCCAGTTTGCTCGCGTACTATTAAAAAAGTTTGGAAAATCCAAAAGTGCACGCTTCATAATCTCATTTGATTATATAAAAAGAAAAATATCTCTTTTTCCATATTTGAGACGAAAGAAGAGATCCATGAGAATATTTTCTTGTAGAAAAGTACCAGTTATTTTTTACATTTTCATTATTTACAATTAAACGAGACCAAATTACTCAGTGATTTTTAAAAGGAACCTGTGCGTTGAGATTATAAACCTAATGAAAAAAGAATTATTTTGATACATTAATTCTAACGACCGTAATCGTGCGCCATCCACACATACAGACATCCGGACACCATCGAAACTTTTTTTTTTAATTAGTATGTTTTTACACTAAATACAGAATTACTTTTAAAAATAATAGAAACATGAAAACGAGTGATTTTTCTCAATATATATGTATTTTTTATTATTCTAAAAGTGCAATAGGTAGTAAAAAAATAAAGAAATTTTTAGCTCAGAAAATTATTGGATTTCCATTGGGTGAGAGTAGAGCCACAGATTACCTCCTAAAGTAGAGCACAACCTCAACGCTTCGCTTATGACGCGTGCAATTTACAGCGAACGCTAAAATCTGAGCTACCACGGCTCGGCAGTAGAAAATAACAAATTCTGAATAGTCCCACTGGGTATCTATTCTAGTTCTTCCGATGTGTTTTTACGAACCAGTGGTTATATATAAAAAAATGTCTTTCATTGCTATTTCTATAATTTTTGCATACCTACTGAGCTAGGCTTCGAATCCAGGACCCACGTTTCTGATATTTGCAAATTACGTCACATAATCATTACAACAATATATGAGCAGACATTACGTTTATAGTTTTCTTTAATCTTTTAAAATATTCGAGACGTGTTGATAGTGTGAAATACTATCTGAAAGGAAATTATAATTACATAATCTATATGACTGTATAAAGATAAATAAGATTCTATTGATATTCGAGGGATATAAAACGTAAATCAAGTAATTACGAAAATATTTATAAATATAAACAAATTTTGTAATTAGTTTTTTTTACTGTAATAATTATAATAATGCCCACAAGACTGAATGTCGGTGACGGTCAGCCAATGGAGACTAGCCACCCGCGCTGGACAGATATATAGAGTTCAAAGATATGCGCAGAGTGCACTCTCTATTGCTTCACTCTCATAGTCCGATGGTACGACACGACCGGTGACATGACCGGTCAGGCGCAGGACCAACGGCTTTATGCGCTTTTCAAGACACCACTAACTTTCTTACTCCGCGCTGCTGCTGAAAATTTCTTGACAAAAAACCCAATAACTGATTTTGGTCCAACTCGGGATTCGAACCCGGGATCTTATAATCAGTAATTGCATCTACGACCACTAGATTTACGAGGTAGTGATTTTTTAACAATAAAAGCCTATCCATCATCGTCACATCCTATCAAGTCCATTGTTGAAAATTATTTTTACAGAATTAGGGTGATAAACAAGCACACAATTCGATGATGATGACAAGTGAATGCTAACAATAGACATCTACACCAATCTTTGTTTAAGAAGCTGAGGACTAAGATGGAATTCCTCGTCTGATGACCGACAAAACTAATCAACAGAAGAAAGTAATTCCGTGTAAGAAAGTACAAACTACTTACCTCCGTGTGTATTGTTTAAGTCATTCATGTTTTATTCAATTTATTAATTTTTATTACTTTACTAGTTCTGTTTATGAAAGTGTACGCGTTTATGTACGAATAGAAACGTTAAATAAGTTTGGTGTAGAACACCTAAACTTTATTTAATGCTAGGTACAGTTGTAATGTTGTGTGACAATAAGTGTACAAGTGTACATGTTGAATATGTTACTAACTCTAATGACTACTTAGTATAAAAAGCAAAGTCGAGCAAAAAAGGGGCACGGCCGTACCATACTTTTCTCGAAGCAATTCGGGCCATTTTCGACTATAACTTCGTAGTGGATAAAACTAGAAGCCTGAATTTTCAGTTACCTAGTAGGCATTGTATAATCA